AGAGATGGGCGCAGGCGCAGCCAGCGGACCAATGGGTGCGCTGTGCGAGTAACCTGGGGCAGGCAGGACGCCCCGTCGAGCAGCATGCCGCATGCGCGCCACCAGCGAGCTCAGCAAGTCAGCGACTAGCAGGCAGGCAGTGGGCGACTTTGGGCAGGAGGACGGTGATTGGGGGCTTGGGGGGGGGGCGGCAGGGCAGTTGGCGCCCTGGACAGCCCGGCGCTCTAGGCCAGACACTAGCTGGCCTAGTTATAGAGCCGGCCATGCAAAGGTGTCTTAGAGCGGCTTACAAACTCCTTCCCCTTCCCCTCCCCACCACAGAGCTTGGGGGGGGGGCGGCAGGGCAGTTGGCGCCCTGGACAGCCCGGCGCTCTAGGCCAGACACTAGCTGGCCTAGTTATAGAGCCGGCCATGCAAAGGTGTCTTAGAGCGGCTTACAAACTCCTTCCCCTTCCCCTCCCCACAACAGACACCCTGTGAGGCAGGTGGGGCTGAGAGAGCTCTGACAGAAACTGCTCTTGAAGAAGAAGAGAAGAAGAGATTGGATTTATACCCCGCCCTTCACAACCCAAAGGTGTCTCAGAGCGGCTTACAAACTCCTTCCTCTTCCCCTCCTCACAACAGACACCCTGTGAGGTAGGTGGGGGCTGAGAGAGCTCTGACAGAAACTGCTCTTGAAAAAGAAGAAGAGATTGGATTTATACCCCACCCTTCACTACCCAAAGGAGTCTCAGAGCGGCTTACAAACCCCTTTCCCTTCCCCTCCCCACAACAGACAACCTGTGAGGGAGGTGGGGCTGAGAGAACTCTGACAAAAACTGCTCTTGAAGAAGAAGAGAAGAAGAGATTGGATTTATACCCCGTCCTTCATTACCCAAAGGAGTCTCAGAGCGGCTTACAAACTCCTTTCCCTTCCCCTCCTCACAACAGACACCCTGTGGGGTAGGTGGGGTTGAGAGAGCTATGAGAGAAACTGCTCTTTTTCAAGGACAGCTCTTATCAGAACTACGGCTTGCCCAAGGTCATCCAGCCAGGTGCGAGTGGAGGAGTGGGGAATCAAACCCGGCTCTCCCAGATTAGAGTCCGCGCACTTAACCACTAGTAATCAAGAGAGGCAGAGTACAGGTCTTTATCTGAGGTCTGTACCAAATCTTAAAAATTGGGGGGGTGAGGAAGACGAGGAAGATTTCCAGGAGGCGGCAATCGCAGGTCTCGCAGCAGCGCATAATATAGCAATCAGGTCTCTCTTAATTTGGGGGACTTGTCCAGTGGCTCCTTAGAGACCGACAACATGTTCAATGTATAAGCTTTCAAGAGTGACAAACAGTCCCTACCCACTGCCCCGGTGCTGCTCAGAGAGGGGAGAGGAGGAACAGTTTCGTTTCAAGTGAAACCAGGTTCCGTTCAGCCTGTGCGGTCCATCTACCATCGTCTCAGAGGTCGGCTTCACCAGAGAGAACCCCCTCCCACCCAGCCCTCAAGACATTCAAATCTCATTTTCGCAGTGAGGACGAGAATGACTCCTCTCTTTAAAAAAGAGGAAGGAGGAAAGCTGGCGTTCCTCGGCGACTGCATCCTGCCAGCTTGCCCGCGCTGTGCCCACGGCCTTGCCCTTAAAGGCATGTTCTTTTGCATCCATGCCGGATCTGGGGTTGCCAACTCCAGACTGGGAAATCCCTGGAGGTTTGGCATGTGGAGTCTGGTTGGGGGAGAAGAAGAACTGCAGCAGAGTGTAACGCCATAGAGCCCTTTGTTTTTTAAATATATTTATTTATTTAGTCTACCTGAATAAAACCTGGTCTTAAAGGTGCCACTGGACTGTTTTGGACCGGGGGGCCAGGGGGGAGGCTCTGCAGCTTACCTTGCTGCTTCTTGCTCTGACTGAGGGCTGCTGGGAGCAGGGGGTGGGGCTTGTTGCATGTGCCCGCCCCCTGGGCTCTTTACTGCCGGAGCTCCGCTCCTGTGCGCTCCTGCAGGAAATGACCCCTGCATACAACCAATATTTCTAATTCCATGGTCTTCGGCCTAGCGCGGTAGTGTGGCGCAATGTTCAGGTGGGGGAGCCAGTATTGCAAAGACACCATAAGTGTCCAGGGCTCTCTGAAAGGTTGCCAGCTCTGGGTTTGGAAACACCTGGAGATCTGAGGGGCGGAGCCTGAGCAGGGTGAGGTTTGGGGCATAATGCCCTAGAGCAGGGGTGTCAAACATGCGGCCCGGGGGCTGGATCAGCCCCCCGGAGGGCTTCTATCAGGCCCGCAGTAGAACTGGCTGTCTTCTGCTGCTTCTTCCAGTTCTGCTGCTACTGCTGAGTCATCGTAGGTTTGCGGCTTACAGAGACACACCTGAACAGCCATACTCGAGATTGCAACAACACGGACATTTTGATGCAATAATTCAGAGCAAGAGTTGTCAGTTATCAGACACTGTTAAATCAACGAAATATTGCAAGAGTGCTACTGTTTTAAGCATGAATGCCAGGTAGCGGAGATATAATCTTTATAAAGGACACAAACACAAAGGGGTTTTGTTTTAAGTAAAAAAAACCCTTTGTGTTTGTGTCCTTTATAAAGATTATATCTCCGCTACCTGGCATTCATGCTTAAAACAGTAGCACTCTTGCAATATTTCGTTGATTTAACAGTGTCTGATAACTGACAACGGCCCTCATAACAAATGAGTTTGACACCCCAGGTCAAGAGTCCACCCTCTAAAGCTGCTATTTTTGCCAGGATAACTGTTCTCTGTCAGCCAGAATTCTGGGAGAGCTGCAGGTCCCACCTGGAGGTCGGCAGCCACTGCCAGATCAACTTCTGGATGTGGAACAGGGGTCACTGCAGGTGTAGAGGGGCAGGTATCTGTGAATTCCCTGCACTGTGCAGGGGGTTGGACTAGATGAACCTGGAGATCCCTTCCAACTCTATGATTCTATGATTCCTCCTGCTTCCAGGGTCTGAGGACTAAGTTTAATTATTGCTATTTTGTGTTGATATGCCTAGGACAAGTTTTAACCATATTTTATATGCAATTTATTGATTGATTGATTGATTGATTAGAATTCTGTGTAAGCCGCCCTGAGCCCGCCTCAGTGGGGAGGGCGGGGTATAACTGAATTAAATAAATAAATAAATAAATAAATAATCGCCGGGGACAGGCCCATGGGTGGATGAAGTGTAGTCTGATGAAGGAAAAACGGCGGAGGGTTCTCTTCAATGGGATTCTTTTGCTTCCAGGTTTCTCGATTGGAGGTCACTTCCCATGTGATCGATGATGCCTTGCAAAACCTCCCCCACAGGGTTCAAGTGCGAGCCCGCGAAGAATTTGACTACGGAACCTGGAGTGAGTGGAGCCGTGAAAGTACCGGGACACCCTGGACAGGTGTGGAAAGCCCTCTAAGCAGTTGTCACTGCACACGCATTGGCCAATCACCCCTGAGCTCTTGGATTCAGCAGAAAGGACAGACTCAAAGCGTATTCAGTCTATGAATAGGTTTGATAGCCCAGAGAAGTAGTTGGATTAGTCTGTTGCACCCAAAACAACAAAGAACCTTTATGGCCCCTTAAGAGATTGATGTTTTTACTGTGGCATCAGCGTTCATGAACCAAAGCCCATTTGGTCAGATTAAGCTTTCAGTTCCTTCCCAGGGAATCTTGGGAACAGTAGTTCTGTGAGGTGGGGCATGTGTCACCTTCAGTATCATCACCAAACTGCAATTCCCAGGATTCACACTTCCTGGGAGGTAAATCCCATTAAAGGAAGTGGAACTTATTTCCAAGTAAACAAGTCTAGGTAGGGTTGCCAACTCCAGCTGGAGGACATCCTGGAGATTTGGGAGTGGTGTAGGGTTGCCAGTGCTAAATAGGGATATTCCTGGAGATTTGGGGGTGGAGTCGGGAGGGCAGTGTTTGGGGAGAGGAGGGACCTCGGCAAGGTTTAATACTACAGAGTCCATGCTCCACAGCTGCTGTTTTCTTCAATGGAACTGCTTTGGTTGGTGTAGTAGTTAGGAGCGTGGACTCTAATCTGGGAGAACTGGGTTTGAGTCCCCACTCCTCCACAAGCAGCTGCTGGGGTGACCTTGGGTCAGTCACAAGTTCTCTCAGAGCTGTTTTCTCAAGAGCAGTTCTCTCAGAGCTCTCTCAGCTCCACCTACCTCACAGGGTGTCTGTTGTGGGGAGAGGAAGGGAAGGAGGTTGTAAGGGAAGGGTGGGGTATAAATCCAATCTCTTCTTCTTCATCATCTTCTTAACTAGAGACACCGGGATTGTACCTGGGACCTTCTGCGTGTGAAGCAGAGGTTCCTCCACTGAACCACAGCCCCTCCCCTCTGTCTCACAACAATCCTGTAAGGTTGGTTAGGCTGAGAGGGTGTGCTGCTTTGCCCAAGGTCACCCAAACAGCTTCCGTGGTAGAGTGGGGATTCGAACCTGGGTTTCCAAGATCCTAGTAGGACACTCTAACTACTACACCACACAAGCACTCAGGATTGGTAACTTCTGAATGGTTCTCTGTCCTTGTGCCTGTAAAAGCGGCTTCACTGCTACAGTGAAAAAGAACTGGTGTTTAGCTCCTTGCCAGGAAACAGTTTCACTTGGAGGTTTTGGCATCTCACCCTTCTGTTAAAGAGGCAGGCCTGGTCCCAGCTGCCGTTCCTGGTCAGTTGGCAACCCTGTATGATGGGGAAGCGGGCCTCCAATCTATGTGGAGCCCTTCCCAAAGCAGACCCGCCAAAGCAAACTTTCATATCGCACCTTTCTACTAAGTGAAATTTTTCTGCAGAATAGTTACTGACGCATTCCTATACGATAGATTCAGGTGGGGAGCAGTGTTCCCTCTAAGCTGAGTCAGTGTGATCTAGCTCACAGTTTTTTTAGCCTCCGGCTCACACGTTTTTGTCTCAGCTCAGGAAGGAGGGCTCCAGGGCAAACTAACTTGTGCGGCAGCCAAATCGCTCGCTCACGGCTTCAATGCCAGGAGCTCAAGCCAAAAGGACCAGGTAGTAGGTGATAGGAAAGACCTCGGCCTGAGACCCTGGAGAGCCGCTGCCAGTCTGAGTAGACGATTCTGACCTTGATGGACCGAGGGTCTGATTCCGAATAAGTCAGCTTCCTGCGTGAGAGTAGGGGAGGGTGTGATAAGGTACTTGAGGTCCTCGCTGGGGAGACAAGAGGGGTATGAACGAAGGAAATAAGTCTCCCATCCTGCAGCTCCTCTCTTTGGATATGAGTTCCCTTTGCCCTGACAGCACGGCTTTCTTTTCAACCATTTCTTTTTCTGGCTGCCGTTTCAGAACCCCCAGAGCCTGAGTCGGAGACGACGGCTTCGCACATCCCAAAGGTAAGAGGGCATTTGCTCCACCTGCCCCTGTTCTGCAAGCGCGGTCTCTGTTCTCTGGTTCCTTTCCCTGGAGAACTCTTTTTGCCCTGGGGTGGGCAGCAGTGTTCCCTCTAAGCTGAGTTAGTGTGAGCTAGCTCACAGTTTGTGAGCCTCCGGCTCACACATTTTTGTCTTCGCTCAGGAAGGATGGCTCCAGAGCTAGCTAATTTATGCAGTAGCTAAATCTCTCGCTCACAACTTTAATCACGGTAGCTCACAAAGTAAAATTTTTGCTCACGAGACTCCATAGCTTAGAGGGAACATTGGTGGGCAGATGTTTGAATGTTGTGAGTGTGAGCGGCTTGCCTCATTTCTCTTTGGGGATCTGATCAATGGTCCCTCTGATTTCCCACCACCACCACGGAAGAAGAAGAGGAGATTGGATTTATACCCCGCCCTTCACTCCCCGAAGGAGTCTCAGAGCGGCTTACAATCTCCTTTCCCTTCCCGTCCCCACAACAGACACCCTGTGAGGTAGGTGGGGCTGACAGAGCTCTGAGGAATCTACACATTAGGTGTAGTGGTTAAGTGCATGGACTCTAATGTGGGTCTGATTCCCCACTCCTCCACTTGTACCTACTGGATGACCTTGGGCAAGCCATAGTTCTCGCACAACTGTTCTTGAAAAAGAGCAGTTCTGTCACTCTCAGACCCACCTACCTGTGGGGAGGGGAAGGGAAAGGAGTTTGTAAGGACGGGGTATAAATCCAATCTCTTCTCTTCTTCTTCTGTGAGAACTGCCCTTGAGAGGACAGCTCTGAGAGAACTTGTGACTGACCCAAGGTCGCCCAGCTGGCTGCATGTGGAAGAGGGGGGAATCAAACCCAGTTCTCCCAGATTAGAGTATGCACTCTTAACCACTACACCAAACTGGCTCTCACAGAGCGGAGCAGTTCGCATCGTGAGCAGACTATAACTGCTGGGATCTTAAAATGGGCAACGGAAGGCAAAGCCAGCCACAACATGGCTGCCACAGGTCAACTTCAGTCAGTGAAGATCCTTGTGCTATGGTGGCAGCTGCTGCCAAAGCAACATTTTTTTTTTTAAAGAAGAAAAAGAGATTGTATTTATACCCCACCCTTCACTCGGAGTCTCAGAGCGGCTTACAATCTCCTTTCCCTTCCCCTCCCCACAACAGACACCCTGTGAGGCAGGTGGGGCTGAGAGAGCTCTGACAGAAACTGCTCTTTTTCAAGAACAGCTCTTGTCAGAAGTATGGCCTTCCCAAGGTCATCTAGCCAGGTGCAAGTGGAGGAGTGGGGAATCAAACCTGGTCCTCCCAGATTAGAGTCCGCGCACTTAACCACTACACCAAATACACATCCAATCAAATCTCCAGCAGCCAATCAAAAGACTTGTTGGGAAGAAGCCCCACCCGGCCCCTCCCACTTTCTAAAAACAGTTGGTAGGCGCGAGGAAAGGTGTTGGCAGGCGCTGTGGTTCCGATGGACAGTGATCTACACATTATTTCTGTTAGTTGAGGAGCATTGTGAGGACTTTGTGCTGAGTGAGACACGGGAGTGTTATGTCTCCCAGACCCACACTGGCTGTTTTCTGTTTCTGACCACAGCATGCAGGGAGGAGTAGCCGTATTCCTCCCTGGCTGCATGCTGAGAACCAGTTTGGTGTAGTAGTAAAAAGCACGGACTCTAATCTGAGAGAACTGGGTTTGATTCCCCACTCCTCCACTTTCACCTCCTGGATGACCTTTGGGTCTGTCACAAGTTCCCTCAGAGCTGTTCTCTCAAGGGCAGTCCTCGAAAGAGCTCTCTCAGTCCTACTTACCTCACAAGGGTGTCTGTTGTGGGGAGGGGAAGGGAAAGGAGATTATAAACCACTCTGAGACTCCGAGTGAAGGGCGGGGTATAAATCCAATCTCTTCTTTCTTCTCTTCTACTCCCCCCCCTTGCTATTTTTGCATCCTCAAATCATCCCCCGGAGTTGCTATTGGCTCCATTGTAAAAATCACACTATGTATGTGGCTACATCTACGTTTTACCTCAGAGTCAAACATGGCTCCAGGGGACGGTTTGAGGACACGACAATAGCGTGACGGGATAGGGTAAAAAGCCGCTCCTCCCCAACTGCCATGGTTGCGGACAAAAAAGAGCCGCTTTGCATCTGGAAGGCACGAAACTCCCATCGCACCTGTGTTACAAAGCGCTGGTCCTCAAGAAGCTGGAAAGATTTGTACTATTCAGATGGACCGCTGAGTTCTCGGGTGCCCGTCTCCTGACAATGAGTTCCCGTCTCCTGACAATGAGCTCCCATCAAGAAAGCTCCAAGTCCCAACTTTAAAGAAGAGAACAGATTCTGCTGTGGGACAAACGGAAGCAGGGTGGCGCCTTCAGCAATGTGAAGTTGTGTGTGTGTGTCTGAGGGAACTGCCCTTGTTGTGTGTGTACTGGGGGGGCTGGCCGCAAAATAGGAGCGTTTCAAATGTTTCCCTGTTTTCACCCACGAAAGGTTGTAAGGTTTGGGGCCGCTTTCCTCTGGGGATTGCAGGAAGCGGAGAGCATCGCAGGAAGTTCAGCTCAGCCTCCCTGGGATGTATTGGAATCCTCACTTGAATCGCCCCATTGACACTCAATGTTAAGCTTCGAGCCGACGAAGGCTCCTCCGAACTAACGTACGATTGGTCGCCCTCTACCAGCGACCAATCAGAATAACGCACAGTCCCTGAGCGGGAAGAACTCCTATTGGTCCTTATCTACGCAACCTTATTGGTTGATTATTGTAAATAGGTGTGGCTATGTTGGCCCGGGAATGTTTAAAAGGAGCCTAGCTCCCAATGTTAAACTGTTCTGGTTTTGAATGCGTTTGAGTGTTTGTTCGCTACTTCATTAAAGCTGAATCACTTAGCTGAAATCATTCTCCGAGTCTTTGTTAGTGCGATCTAACACTCCCTTTCTTTGACAGGTTCCGGATGATTATCCTTTTGTTACCTCGAATGTGTCCACGACTCCTGAATTCCCCATTGACTCGGAGAAGCCAGCTGGTAAGGCGCCACCAGACTCAACCTTTGTTCTGTTGCTTCAGACCAACACAGCGACTAGCCTGAATCGATCTTCTTTGTACGCCGGACTTTTGTCTTTTCCAACAGGAGGGACAGGGAGAGACCCTGGAGGCTTCCTGGTTATCTTGTGGCTGAGGCGACAGCCCAGCCAGGGAATTCTTGAATCTCCTCTTTAGCCACCAAGTGACACCAGTTTGTTAAAGAAGCCGGTAGCTGAAACTGACCTGGAAACACATCTAGCCAGGCGAAATGGCACAGAGTGAATGTCAAGCAGCGATCCTCTGCTGTCGGAGTCGATAAGCCTGAAACAGCACCAGAGGGAATCTCACTGCTCAAGACCCACTGCTCACACCATCTCAGTTTGCTGCAGCCAGTTTGGCGTAGTGGTTAAGTGCGGGGACTCTAATCTGGGAGAGCCGGGTTTGATTCCCCACTCCTCCACTTGCACCTGCTGGATGACCTTGGGCAAGCCGTAGTTCTGTTCTTGAAAAAGAGCAGTTTCTCTCAGAGTTCTCTCAGCCCAACCTACCTCACAGGGTGTCTGTTGTGGGAGGGGAAGGGGAAGGAGTTTGTAAGTCGCTCTGAGACTCCAAGTGAAGGGCGGGGTATAAATCCAATCTCCTCCTCCTCCTCCTCCTCTTCTTCCTCCAGTCCTGATTGGCCCAGGGATCCTGGAGGTTTTTCACCTTTCCCTGGGCATAGAGCAGGGGGTCACTGGGGGAGGGGGAGTGGCTGTGAATTTCCTGCATTGGGGTCCCTTCCAGCTCTATGTTTTTATGTTTCTTAATAAATTCAGAGGGAGGGGTGGCAATTATTGTTTAACATCTGAATTTAGAGAGACTCCCTTACTGGCAACTGAGAATCACGTTGGAGACGAGCCCTACTAAGAGAGAACAATGGGGCTTATCTCTACCTTGATTCTCAGTCTCTGGTAATGGGAGTGTCTCTACATTCAAATGATTTCATTAAATGCCATACAGCCCGAAAAATCTACAACAACTAATGGAAGAAGGAGGAGGAGGAGGAGATTGGATGTATACCCTGCCCTTCACTCGGAGTCTCAGAGCGGCTTACGAACTCCTTTCCTTTCCCCTCCCCGCAACAGACACCCTGTGAGGTAGGCGGGACTGAGAGAGCTCTCTCGAGAACTGCCCTTGAGAAGACAGTTCTGACAGAACTGTGTCTTGCCCAAGGTCATCCAGCAGCTGCACGTGGAGGAGTGGGGAATCAAACCTGGTTCTCCCAGATTAGAGTCCATGCACTCAATCACTACACCAAACTGGCTCTCAAACAGGATAGTTTGGCTCAGTCCAAAAGGAGACCAATATATTAATGATTAGTCTGCCAGTCGGCACAGTTCTTTCCCAGAGTTTGGCGACCCTTTTCCTAATTGTGCTCCCTTCTTGTTTTCAGTGGAAGTTGCCGTGGACATGTCTCTTCATACGTTCCTCATCCCAGCAGGCACTGTGATCTTGGGTCTCGCCCTGGTGGTTGGCATTGTCATCCGGTAAGGAAGGAATTGTGGAGAAGGGAGGGATGTAATCGATTCATGGAGGAGAGGTCTATCAGTGGCTACTACCCATGGTGACTGAGGGGAACCTCCACGTTCAGAGGCAGTCAGCCTCTGGATCCCACCGCCAGGAGGCAGCATCAAGGGAAGGCCTCAGCCCCTCTGCCCTGTTGTTGGCCCTCCGGAGGAACTGGTTGAGGCCACTGTGTGAGACGGGATGCTGGACTAGATGGACCCTCACTGGTCTGACCCAGCAGGGCTCTTTTTACGTTCTTATGAGGAGAAGGCCTCAGCCCCTCTGCCCTGTTGTTGGCCCTCCAGAGGAACTGGTTGAGGCCACTGTGGGAGCCAGGATGCTGAACTAGAGGGACCCTCACTGGTCTGACCCAGCAGGGCTCTTCTGATGTTCTTATCAGGGGAAGGCCTCAGCCTCTTATGCCCTGTTGTTGGCCCTCCAGAGGAACTGGTTGAGGCCACTGTGTGAGGCAGGATGCAGGACTAGATGGACCCTCACTGGTCTGATCCAGCAGGGGTCTTCTGATGTTCTTCTGAGGGGAAGGCCTCGGCCTCTCTGCCCTGTTGTTGGCCCTCCAGAGGAACTGGTTGAGGCCGCTGTGTGAGGCAGGATGCGGGACTAGATGGACCCTCATTGGTCTGATCCAGCAGGGCTCTTCTGATGTTCTTCTGAGGGGAAGGCCTCGGCCTCTCTGCCCTGTTGCTGACCCTCCGGAGGAAGTGGTTGAGGCCGCTGTGTGAGGCAGGATGTGGGACTAGATGGACCCTCACTGGTCTGATCCAGCAGGGCTCTTCTGATGTTCTTCTGAGGGGAAGGCCTCGGCCTCTCTGCCCTGTTGTTGGCCCTCCGGAGGAAGTGGTTGAGGCCACTGTGTGAGACAGGATGTGGAACTAGAAGGACCGCCGGTCTGATCCTGCATGGCTCTTCCGTTGTTCTTATGGGAACAGGATGAGATCGGTCACTGGCTTGCTTTAGCCACAGCCACCAAAGATCTTGTCTGACGATTGCGGTTTGGAGAGGGTAGGGGGAGAGAAGTGAAGGTGGAAGGAACGTAGCTGCCGGTGGCGCTCCACAAATCCTTCCTCAGGAGAAGATAATACAGAGGTTCCACTCTTAGCCCAGGGTCGCCAACCTCCCAGTGAAACTTGGAGATCTCCCGGAATTGCAACCAATCTCCAGACGACAGAGATCAGTTCCCCTGGAGAAAATGACTGTTTTGGAGGGTGGACTCCATGGCATTGTATCCTTCTGAGGCAGGGCTCCCAGGTCCCCCCTGGACACTAGTGGGTTCATAGGGTTGCCGGCTCCAGAGTTAAGACAATCCAGGATATTTGGGGGTGGAACCCTGGTGAGGACAGGGACCTCAGTGGGGCACAATGCCACAGAGTCTGCCCTCCAAAGCAGCCATTTCCCCCAGGGGAACTGATCTCTGAGGAGCTGTAATTCTGGGGGGATCCCCAGGGCCCACCTGGAGAGGCTGGCATCCCGAGGTCCCTTCCTGAGCATTGTTCCCAAATCACCAGTAATTTCCCAACCCACAATTGGCAACCCTGTCTTGGCCTTCTGCTCATTCAGAAAGCTGTGTGAGATCTTGTAAACAGCCCCGTGCAGGCGGAAGAACACCTGTGGGCTTTGTTTCGATTTTTAAGAGAACGTAAGGGAAGCCAATGTTGGATCAGGGCCAGTGGCCCATCCAGTCCAACACTCTGTGTCACACAGTGGCCAGAAATACCAGGGGCCATCAGGAGGTCCAGCAGCGGGGTCAGGACACTAGAAGCCCTCCCCCTGTTGCCCCCCGAGAGCCAAAAGAAGAAGAAGAGATTGGATTTATACCCCGCCTTTCACTACCCAAAGGTGTCTCAGAGCGGCTTACTAACTCCTTTCCCTTCCCTTCCTCCCCACAACAGACACCCTGTGAGGGAGGTGGGGCTGAGAGAGCTCTTGACAGAAACTGCTCTTTTTCAAGGACAGCTCTTATCAGAACTATGGCTTGCCCAAGGTAATCCAGCAGGTGCAAGTGGAGGAGTGGGGAATCAAACCCGGTTCTCCCAGGTTAGAGTCCGCGCACTTAACCACTATACCAAAAGACAGAGCATCACTGCCCCAGACAGACTGTTCCATCTATAGTAAAGGTAAAGGTTTCCCTTGCTCGAAAGCCAGTCGAATCTGACTCTAGGGTGTGGTGCTCATCTCCGTTTCCAAGCCAAAGAGCCAGCGCTGTCCGAAGACGTTTCCGTGGTCACGTGGCTGGCATGACTAGATGCCGAGGCACATGGAACACTGTTCCCTTCCCACCGAAGCGGTACCTATTTATCTACTTGCAATTTCTTGCTTTCGAACCGCTAGGTTGGCAGGAGCTGGGACCAGGGACGGGAGCTCACTCCGTCATGCGGCACTCGGGTCTCGAACTGCTGAACTACCGACCTTCCGGTCTGCAGTTCAGTGTCTTAACCACTTGAGCCACCGCAGCCCTAGTTCCATCTATACCTTGTGGCTAATAGCCACTGATGGACCTCTGCTCCAGATGTTGATCCAATCCCCTCTTGAAGCGGTCTATGCTTGTAGCCGCCGCCACTTCCTGCGGCAGTGAATTCCACGTATTAATCACTCTCTGGGTGAAGAGGGACTTCCTTTTATCTGTTCTAAGCCTACTGGTCACCAATTTCATGGAGTGCCCACGAGTTCTTGTATTGTGAGAAAGGGAGAAATGGAATCCTTTCTCTACCTTCTCGATCCCATGCATAATTTTGTAAACCTCCAGGGCTATTTTTGGGCAGGAACGCACAGGAACCGAGTTCTGGCTGGCTTCAGAGTTGGCCACACCCACTACAGCCCAAACCTCCCTTCAAGGTGGGGCTTGCCCGGGCTCCCTGCAGCCGCGGGCACCCGGGCAAGTCATGCGGCACTCGGGTCTCGAACTGCTGAACTACCGACCTTCCGGTCTGCAGTTCAGTGTCTTAACCACTTGAGCCACCGCAGCCCTAGTTCCATCTATACCTTGTGGCTAATAGCCACTGATGGACCTCTGCTCCAGATGTTGATCCAATCCCCTCTTGAAGCGGTCTATGCTTGTAGCCGCCGCCACTTCCTGCGGCAGTGAATTCCACGTATTAATCACTCTCTGGGTGAAGAGGGACTTCCTTTTATCTGTTCTAAGCCTACTGGTCACCAATTTCATGGAGTGCCCACGAGTTCTTGTATTGTGAGAAAGGGAGAAATGGAATCCTTTCTCTACCTTCTCGATCCCATGCATAATTTTGTAAACCTCCAGGGCTATTTTTGGGCAGGAACGCACAGGAACCGAGTTCTGGCTGGCTTCAGAGTTGGCCACACCCACTACAGCCCAAACCTCCCTTCAAGGTGGGGCTTGCCCGGGCTCCCTGCAGCCGCGGGCACCCGGGCAAGCCAAGGGAAGGCATGGGGGTGTGATGTAACGTGCTAATGAGCTGCACTGTCAGGGGTGGGGCCTAATATGCTAATGAGTGTCTGCTGTTGGGTGTGGCCTAATATGCTAATGAGTTTCTGCTGGGCTTTTTCTACAAAAAAAAAGCCCTGTAAACCTCTATCTCACGCCGTGCTTGAGCTCTGTGTCTTCTTTTAAAACCTCGCCTTGCCATCACTGTTTTCCAGGTACCGGAAAAAATGGTGGATGCCGTCTTCCGGAGAGGCAAAGCCGAAGGCCATACCATCGTATTCCCTGGTTCCGCTGGGTTCGGGGCCCCCTCTGAGCTTGTCACCTCTCCTGTCCCCTCCTGCCTCGCCCGTCAGCGAGAGCTCTGTGGACAGCCCCAGGATCCTGGGAAATAGTCCCTATGACATTTCCAACGCAGACTACTTCTTGCTGCCCAGGTAGCAGGCAGGCATTGGATCAGAGGTCATGGGACTTTACAGTGCCTTTGGGCACGGGAATTTCACCCTGGAGAACCGAGCGTGAAACCAGACCACCCATCCGGAAAGCATCGATGCTAAAACCCGCTTGGATTTTGCCGTTTTCAGTCCAATCTCACAGCGATCCACCCTGCTCTGGACTCCTCCACCCGGAATCCTCGTCTTTCAGTCATCAGGACGGTATTCGTAGAGAGTCTGGTTTCTCGGTCCACAGAAGAGACTTTGGAGCCCGTTGCGAATGCCTCTCTGTAGGATGATGGGGTGACGTCAAGGTTCCATCTGGCACAGTGTTTCTTCACCTGCAGCGGCTTGCTGGAGAAAACGGAGACATTACGGAATTGTTCCTTGTCGGGATGCCTGTAGGAATTTCCCAGACGTGGAGGCCAAGAAACGGTTGGGACGTCATGCTGAGAAACGTATTGGCCCCCATGCCATGTTAGGGAGGCAGTCGGGGGATCTACCGTCATCGAGGCCACATTCAGTGGCCTTCAGAAAGCAGCGTTGGGGTTTCCACAAGCTAATGGAGGACAGCCAGAGAGACAGAGAGAGAGAGACTATCTCCCATAATGCACTGGGAATGGCAGCCCCCACAATGCTGTGCTGTTGCCTAGGGGGGAAAAACCAATCCGAAACAACCCTCTGCCAGCATTCTGGGGTAACGCCTCCTCCCCACACCGCTGTTTCAGTTACGCAACGCATGCTCGGATCCCGCTGAGCTGTGAGACAAGACTTTGCAGGAAACTCTCGCTCTGACACGACACCCTCGTTTACCCAACATGCCTTGCATCACGCGAGCAAGGGGACTCTTGTTCGTGATCCGCTTGACGAGCAGTTGCCGAGAAGTGGAACTGTGGAAGACTTTGTTGTTCACTGTAGTTATGAAACCCTGGGGTGACACAGGCCCTCTGCTGCTGAGCCGACTTTTTCCATAAGTCAAAGCATGAGACCATTTCCACACACACCCACCCCCCAGTTTTTCTTTCGGGTGCTGAACTAATACCATCGGGCTGAATTTCCTGCTCCGACGGAACGTGACGGTCGCCCACACAGGGGTGTCGCTCGCGTAGGAGATAGTGATGAAGTCAGCAGGGAGGAGGTGTTAAAAGGCACGGTGCTTCCCAGGGAAGGCCGGCCAGAGTGCAAAGGGACCCGATTCAAGCCAGACGAATGCTCCTGGCAGCCTGTCTGGGGGGACAGGCTTGGATGCGTGGCTATGGAATGTCCAACGGAGCGTTTATCTTCACACACACACACGTGCCCTTGCACCCTGCTCCTTTAGGGTAAGAACGAACATTTCCCGGATGAGCACACCAGAAGATTTCACAAACTGAAAGATCTTTCTCCCCCCCCTCCTTTCTATTCTACTATGCCTCAGTTTCCCCTCAGGCTTCCTTCCTTTTTTGTGTCACCATCCCCCCCCCCCCCCCCCCCCCGTGCCTTCCTGTGTGTTTTTCCCCAGGGGGTTATCAAGCGTACCCTGAACTGAGCCAGTCCAGGACTGAGTATCGAACTACTTTAGAGCAGTGGTTAAGTGCGCGGACTCTAATCTGGGAGAACCGGGTTTGATTCCCCACTCCTCCACTCGCAGCTGCTGGATGACCTTAGGCAAGCCATAGTTCTGTCAGAGCTGTTCTCGAAAAAGAGCAGTTTCTGTCAGAGCTCTCTCAGCCCCACCTACCTCACAGGGTGTCTGTTGTGGGGAGGGGAAGGGAAAGGAGATTGTAAGCCGCTCTAAGACTCCCTTCGGGTAGTGAAGGGCGGGGTATAAATCCAATCTCTTCTTCTTCTTGAGTCTGGAAGACTCAGGTTCAAATCCTCACTCATGCCATGTAAGCTCGCTGGGTGACTTTGGGCCAGTCACGATCTCTCAGCCTAACCTACCTCACAGGGTTGTTGTGGTATTAAAATGGAGGAGAGGAGAAGGATGGAAGCTGCTTTCCCCCGCTGAGGAGAAAATACAGGGTAGAAATGAAGTACAAATAAAGAAATAAAGTTCAGGCTCCCATTCACCCATGAAACTCCCTAAGTGGCCCGGAGCCAGGCACTTCCTGTCGATCTCTGCCTCAGCTGAACTTACCTCACAAGGGTGTTGTGAGGGTCAAATGGAAGAGAGGACAAGCAGATGTGCCCACCGGAGGTCCTTGGCGAGATAAAAATGCAACACAGCCCGCGCGTCGTGTAATGGCTAGAGTGTCAGACTAGGACTTGGGAACCCGGGTTCGAATTAGCTGTGAAGCTCACCGGGTGTCCTTGAAACTGTCACTCTCTCAGCCTAGCCTACCTCACAGGGTTATTGTGACGGCAGAACAGAAGAGTGGAGAATCCCGTGTGCTTCCCTGGGGTAAAAATCAGATAAATATAGAAGCTGCATTCCTCACAAATTTGTTTTTCTCAGTGAGGAATCACCGAGAGTTTCCCAAGGAGCCCTAATTTCCCTTTCAAGCGCAGCCATGGGTTGGTTATACGCTCAGCTTTTGAGGGACAATCGCGAGGCCCAAGAGCTTTGTGCGTATGTGCCAGGATGTGCCTCAGAATCCTTTGCCATATACAGAGGTTCAGGGGCCTCCCACACTGGACCTCAACTCTTTGCTAGGCAGGGCTATTTTGGGGCAGGAACGCACAGGAACGGAGTTCCGGCTGGCTCCCAAGTTGTCCACGCCCAGCAGGAACTCATTAGCATAATAGGCCACACCCAACGGCAGAAACTCATTAGGATTTGGCTACATTAGGGGTGTGTGGCCTAACATGCAAAGGAGTCCCTGCTACAAAAAAAGGCCCTGGGTTTTGACAACAAACAAGGTAAACAGGATAAGAAGCAAAAGGTGCGTGTGGCTGGATGAACACACTTCTGGTAACATGTGGGTGCAGCCTAATGTGCTAATGAGCTGTCCTGGCAGGGGTGTGGCCCAATATGCTAATGAGTTTCTGGTGTTGGGTGTGGCCTATTATGCTAATGAGTTCCTGCTGGGTTTTTTCTACAAAAAGAGCCCTGTTGCTAGGCATTGGCCACCAAAACCGCTGTGCACAGCAGAGAACTCTGGCACACATGTGCAGGGCTCTTGATCCTGCTGTGGCTCATGACTGTGACACGAAAGATGAACCAGTGACCTTCTACGCATTACCATTATTGGTTTGTTGATCCCATGCATGTTAATCCCATGCATATGCAGCTACTTTTGTTAGCTGCACGCCTGAACATGGCTGGTGCTCCCCTTCCCCTTCCCAGTCTCAGAGGTCTATGCTCCCTTTTACACACTGCGTAGAAGAAGGTGGCAGAATCGTACTTCAGACTGCAGGTGGGAGCATCGCGGTTTTGAATGCTGTCTTGCATGAAAGCAATTCCCCGCCTGTAATAAACTAGCAGAGGGCTTTGCTAACCCTTCTCCCTGATAAGCTAATTTAATTCCCCACTCCTCCACATGCAGCTGCTGGTGTGACCTTGGGTCAGTTGCAAGTTCTTTCAAAGCTGTTTTCTCGTGAGCAGTTCTGGAAAGAGTTCTCTCAGCCCCATGTACCTCACAGGGTGCCTGTTGTGGGGAAGGGGAAGGAGATTGTAAGCCACTCTCCTTCGGGTAGTGAAGGGCGGGGTATAAATCCAACCTCTTCTTTTTCGCCTTCTTCCTCTTCTCCTTCTCCTTCTTATTGGTGTGGGAACCTTCCAGAGTATTATTCTCCAGCTGGGAGCAGTAATAGTACAAGCCAGAATTCTGTCTTCTTGGTTTACCACCTCCCTTCTGTGTAATGTGTAGAACAACTCCGTTTGGGTTTGATTTATACATGAAGCCTAATGAAGTGGTGGAATACTGAGGTCGTAGACTCAGACAACAGTTTGGTGAGGCCATTTTGAACGCTCTCCTGTACACAAAAGAAAAAGACAAAAAAAAGAATGTTTTTTTTTAAAAGCACGTCAAGGGGACAGTTTCCTGCTGTGCTAGATGTCTACATGCAAAGACGTTTTAAAAACCTGGTGAACATTAAAAAAATGTGATTTCCATCCTGCAGTCTGCTTTCTCCCACTTCATCCGTCCTCCTGCAAGCAAGGAAAGCCAGTGTGGTACAGTGGTTAGCAAGTCAGCTGAGGCCTGGATTCGAATCCTCACTCAGTCAGCTCCAAAATCACCGGAAAACCCCGAGCCGGTCGCTCTGGCTCCCTTTTAACCTGCCTCACAAGGCTGTGTTGAGGACAGACTGGGGAGGGGGCAGCAGTAGAGAGAGCCCTGTATCCCCACCCTAAGACCCCTAGAAGGAAGGAAGACAGAACTACAGACCGGGCTCAATAACAAGCGAGAGTTCAGGGTTGAAAAAACAACAGTTGGGTGTACGTGGGGAGACTTTGGAGGCCTTCTCTCTTTTCCTGTGTGGGTGAAGCATGCTTGTGCAGGCGAAGAAGAGGACTGTTGAGCAAGAGCGGGGCCCAGCCGGCTCCGGTGGGAGGTCCGGTGGTGAAACCCCCCAGCCCGGCAGCTGCTTCCAGTTCTTCTTTTGGGTCGCTCCTTGAGTGATCAACAGCCTCAGAGGAGGAAGCGAACCGTCTCTCTGGGCGCCGGGGGAAGGTTCTGAAGTCCCGTCCCCCCCCCCCCCCACGGCCGCCTTCTGAAGCCTCTGACTGCTCC